AAAATTCAAATAAACTTAATATTAAGAATATACTGTATACTAAGCCTGATGGAGAAACGAGGAAGCAGCGGCGAGCGGCGGCAACAGCAGCGGCGAGTGGCGGCAGTAGCAGCGGCGAGCGACGGCAACAGCAGCGGCGAGCGGCGGCAGCGGGAAAGGGAAAGGGAGCGGAAGGCACGAGCAGCGGGAGGGCTCGCGGGAGGCGCAAGCAGCAGGAGGGCTCGAGGGAGGCGTGAGCAGCGGGAAGGCTCGCAGGAGGGCTCGCAGGAGGCACGAGCAGCGAAAGGGCTCGCGGGAGGCGCGAGCAGCGGGAAGGCTCGCGGGAGGCGCGAGCAGCGACAGCGGGAGCAAGAGCGACGAGCAGCGAGATCGCGATCGGGATCGGGATCGGGATCGGCAGCAGGTTAGGGTTGGGTAAGGGTTAGGGTTGGGGTTATATCGGTTTAGTTGGTTCGATTGAACCAACTAACAACCGAACCAGGACCGAACCAGACCTAAAATTCTGGTTCGGTCGCCTTGGTTTACCCAGGCGCTCGCCCGAAGCGCCCAGCGCCTGGGCTTGGGCGAGCGCCCAGGCGGCGCCTGTTTGAAGCGTGCCGCCTGGGACATTAGCGAGGCGCTCGGGCCTCGCCTCGCCCGAGCGCCTTTTTCAATCACTGCAAACGCTTAGACAGTCGACCACCGCTGTCATCTCCTTCTCGTGCACCACATACCATCGCTCGATCTCGTTGAGCTTGCAGCTCTCGTAGGCCACCGGGTGACCCTCCTACATGAGTAATCCTCCAATAACGAAATCTGAAGCATTCATATGGACTTTGAAGGGCTTCCCATAGTCAAACAATTTGAGTACCGGTTCTTCCAACACAGTAGCCTTTAGGTCTTCGAATGTCGCTTCACATTGGTCTGGCCATCGCCAAGGCTATTCCTTCTTCAACAACTCCGTCAATGGAGTTGCGCACTTCGAGTACCCAACTATGAAGCACCGATAATAATTGACAAAACGAAGGAAGGATCTCAGCTTCGGTACCTTCTTTGGTGTTCATCATTCCGCCACAGCTTGCACCTTTGATTTATCCATCCGAATGGGCGACGATTCGATGTCCCAAGAACAAAATCTCCGTATGAGCAAAGTAACACTTCTCCCTTTTCACGAACAAAGTGTTCTCCCTAAGAACCTTGAAAATTGTTCGAAGGTACTCGACATGCTCCTCGAGCGTTTGGCTGTAAACAACGATGTCATTTAGGTAGATGACCAAAAACTTGTCTAAGTACTTCTTGAATAGTTGGTTCATGAGAGTGCAGAATGTGACCGGAGCGTTGGCTAAGCCGAAAGGCATCACCAAGAACTCGAACGCTCCATACCTGATCACACAGGTAGTCTTCACTTCATCGCCTTCAGCAATGCGGACATGCTAGTAACCCGACCGAAGGCCGAAAGGCTTTGCCCAGTTGGTCGAATAAGTCTGCGATGAGCGGAATGAGATACTTGTTCTTCACCGCCACCTTGTTTAAGGCCCGATAGTCGACACATAATCGGAGGCTCCTATCTTGTTTCTTTTGGATACTTGTTTTTCACCGTCACCTTGTTTAAGGCTCGATGGTCGACGCATAATCGAAGGCTCCTATCTTGTTTCTTCTGGAAAAGGATTAGAGCTCCAAATGGTGCTTTAGAATTGCGGATGAGACCACTGCTTAGCATTCATCTAACTGCTTCCTGAACTTTGCCAACTCTGGAGGAGCCATGCAGTATAGTGGTTTCGCTGGAGCCTTCACTCCCGGCTCCAGCTTGATATGATGATCCACGCCTATACATGACGATAGAGTTTTCAACAACTCAGGTGGCATGACGCCTATGAACTCTTTCAAAACGTTCGCCACCATAGCAGGTTCATGAATGGCCTCCACGTCAAGTTGCTCTAGCTTTATAACGACCACAAAAGTAAATTCTCCTTTTTGTACCCCGTTTTTCAGTTATAATACCAATATTTATTATGGGTCCTTGGTTCCTCCTTGAGAAACTAGAACCACGCAGGGATCGTCACCTCCTATTAGGCATAGGGAGTTTAGGAACAACATTGGCACCAACTTCGTCGTGTGCATGAACTTCATTCCGAGAATTACTTAGAAGTCGTCCACTAGCATCACTATCATGTTTGTGCTTCCGCTCCATGCCCTGATCTTGATGGGTATTGCCTTTACCAGCCCGGAGATCCGCTCAGCCTCTAAGTTTATTGCCTTAATCCGACTTGGGTTCTTCTCCAAGTTTAGCCCAAGTTGCCTAGCTTCTCGGTCAATAATGAAATTATGGGTAACACCCGTGTCCACCATCGCACGGGTTGTTCGGCCATTTAGCTTGATGTCCACGTACATCAGCTCGCTACTCCCTGCTTTCTGCAGCTTCATCTTCATGTTCTCCCCCACTTGACCCCACAACGCATTCAACAAACGTATTGCTCCTATTCGGGGTCCTTGCGACTCCTCATCGTCATTGTTGGATTCCGAACTACTCGAACTAAGGGCAACGGCCTTGCCCTTGTCCGATCTGGGGGGATGGATTTATGTTGTTAAGGCATTGAGTGCTTGTTTTTGTGGGCACTCCCTCACCATGTGTGGTCCTCTACACAAGAAGCATCCGTCAGGTTTTGAGGCCTTGCCTTTTGAGCTTGATCGTTTGTGGAAACTCCTTTTCCTTTGCTCACCCCCAGACTCCTTCACTCGGGAATATTTGTGTGGGCAATTTCTCGAAGATTGTTTCTTCTTCCCCGAATCCTCCGAGAAAACAAAGTCAATGAGCCTTTCCGCGACTGCAATTGCCCCGATCACATCGGTAACATTCCTTCGATGCAATTCCTGTTGTGCCCACGGCTTCAAGCCATCGAGGAAGCTGAAAGCTTATCCTTCTCGGACGTATCCTATATGTCTAGTATCATTGTAGAAAATTGCTTTACGTAGTCCCGAATGGAAGTACTTTGGCAGAGTTGTCTCAGCTTCCTTCTTGTGACGAACTCCGTGTTCTCAGGTAGGAATTGAGTTCTTAACTCTCGCTTCAAGTCCTCCCATGTGTCCACTCGACACTAACCTTGTTGGATCTCTTTCTAACGTGTTCGCCACCAAAGTTTTGCATCCTCATTCAGATACATGGTTGCTATCAAAGCTTTGGTATCTTCAGAATCAGGCCTTGTAGTTCGAAAGTACTATTCCATGTCAAACAGGTAATTCTTGATCTCCTTTGCATCCTTGGCACCCTCGTAGCAATGCGGCTCGGGTGCCCTTAAGTTCTGTGGCGGAACAACACGGGTGTTGTTCCCTGCCGCATTAAGAGCCTTTATGAGCAATGTCACCCTGGACGTGAGTTCCGCCACGACTTCGTGCAGATATTGCACGGAGTCTTTGGTGTCTTCCGTCAATCGATCGACTAGGGACTCGACCTTGTCGATCCGAGATTCAACTTCTTCTTGCGAGTTCTCTACCCCAAGAAGCCTTCATTGGCCTTGGTATAGTTCCTCCAAACTAGCATCAAGAATGTCAAAGCGGGTTTCCGTAGCTGTAAGTCTCCTTGTAGCTTCTTTTCCCGGTTGGCACTCCAGATTACGCCTCCTCTGCTCGTGGAGAATAGCCAACTTCTCGCTCGTCTTGTTCGTTGTCGTGCTCCTCCTAAGCGGCTCCAACAGCTTGAGAGCGAGTTTACACTTGTAGCCTATCTACGATTGCTTGGGGAAAAGGTCCGACTTGCCCCATCTTGCTCGATTCGCCATGATGCTTCGTCATGGCGAGATTGCGAAACCTTTTCGTTGTTTGCTCGAGTAGTTTGCCCACTTTGATACCATAATGTCACGGACTTAGCTGGAATCGCCTAAGTCGTGAGGCACCCTTGCAGCAAAGTCATAGACTTAGCTAGAGTTGCCTAAATAATGAAGCACCCTTGCACCAATGTCTCGGATTTAGCTGGGATTGCCTAAGTCATGAGGCGCCCTTGCGTTATCCGTCCGCAAAGGGTCAGCCTATTTGCAACCTCGCTCAGATCCCGTAGGACTTGTAAAAGGAGCAAATTAATTAATTTGAAAGTGAGTGGCGAACAAGTCCCAACGTCTCACGAAGAGGAGAACTTTACAAGCAATTCGGCAAACACTCGATGTGCAAGAAAGAAAAGAGAGGACAGAGAAAACAAGGACTTTAAAAGACAAAACGAGCAGTCGCAAGTCCGCAAACGACTGCTCACCGGGTGTCGGGCACGATGACAAGTTCCCATCAACTTAACGTGCGAACTTGTGAAATCCAATCAACGCCCAACACTACCCCAAAGCCCCATCCACCCCTGTGCCACCCGAGGGGTTCCAAGGTGCTGAGATGGTTGACGTTTTACACTGCACCGCAACCTACAGAAAATAAACCATGGCACACGAAAACGGAGCCATTTTGGGGCGATTTTGCCTGGCATGGTGAGCAGTCGCTCTGCAACGCTGCGATCTGTTCTTGCTTATAGTTTTCAAGCAAAAACACACAAAACCAAGTCAAAACATGCTACCAAACATCTATACAAGCACGCAAAAACGACGGATGGTTCATTGACGAAGATGTTGTGGGTGCGCAATGACCATTCGTGATAGTACGGTATGTCTTTAAATGTACCTCAAAAGCATTGTATCTATTACATATCCAAATACAAATACGACAAGAAATTTGAAGCATTCATCTTTTATAGTTTAAAATTGATATTATAGGTTCAGTTTCTGGTTTCCTACATCTGGCACAAGATGAAAGAAATGCTACATGATTCTGTAACCAAGTAGACATGATTTATGTAGGGAAAAGTCATAAAGCAGGCTAGCTTATAGTATCAACCTCTTGGTAAGACTTAAACAGTAAAAGGAGTAGAAGAAGCTATCAACTAACACTTATGATGGTTGAGTAGGAAAATGTCATAAAGCAAGCTAGCTTACAGAATAGATCTCTTGAAAGGACTTCGACATTAAAAGGAGTAATAGAAGCTATCGACTTACAGTTATGATTGTTATTGGTACTCCTAAGAGATGATAGAACATCAAGTAATGTTTTCCACATTCCCGGGGGCTTTGCTCCGATTTGCAATTCTTTATATGCCTGTTATTGTCACTAATTAATTTTTCAATATAATATTTTTGAAGTTGAATTTGTAAAACAAAAGGAAACAGATCATGATGCTGATATATAGCTAACACAGACAATTTTCAATAATAGGTTTCTGATTCCAGCTAAGAACATTGTACATAACAAGGTAGAGTCAATTTATTATTTGGACATGAATTATGATGGTTCGTATTTGGCTATCTTTTCTTATACTATATAAGAACCCACACAAAAGTGTCATCAAATATAGCTATAATAAACTATGCTAATCAATATGTGCCACTACTAAAGTATTCATTATATATTACTCGTTCAACAACAAGGTTGGAACCAATGACATTGCAGACATGATTTTAGGGAATATTGGTATGTTGGTGAACCTGTATGCTTCAAATACAATAAGAAAGGATGGGGTGGGTCCTAGAAATGTGGGGTCTGGTGATAGTTAATATACAAAGCCTTTCCCATATCTGCAAAAGGTGTTTCGATAACTCAAACCTAGTCACCCCGCTTTTTAAAAACCAACCTTATCATGATGCGAAGGACTGCACTCATGCCTTAGATACAATAGACCCGCAAAAACAAGCATTATCTCATTATTATCACAATCTTTGATTGTTGAATGAATGTGCTTCTGAAATGGAACTGGAAGATGACCTGAATCTCTAACGGAACGTGTTCCATGCTTACATCAAAATCTATTCATGGTATATCTTGTTCAAAGATATGTCTGCGCTATCTCTTACTAACCACAAAAATAACAATAAAATTTTGGTTGGATATGTACCAACTTGAATCACACATTAAGCATCCTTTAACCTGCCTAATAGACATATTTTGCATGTCTCATAAGACCTTTTAACAGTTCTTATACATTTAATTGTTCACAATGAATCAGCTCACTAGATGCAATATTAATACATAATGCATAATGCAATATTTTACTGAGATCTATAACTTCTAGCATAGTTGTGCGTCTCTAGTGTCTTCATACTGTATTTTAGAAGAAAAAAATGTTAGAAGTTTTTCTATTGCATAAACCTATTCTGGACTGAAGTACCAGATGAGTTCTTCAAATTGGAAGTCAACCGTAAAATACATGCCGGGAAAATAATAAATAAAGATATGTTAATAGGATAAAGGACCAAGATTTTAGATACAGGCTAAATAAATAAGTTAACAATAATAAGGTACATTTAATAAAATTCAAAAACTAACAAGCTGACATGGCCCATAAGAAATCATTAACAAGCAAATATAAGGCTACCTGCATACGTGTTCTTGCTAGCTCGATAGGTGAACAAGCAACACATGCCAATGAGCGTGCAAATGAGCCTGCAAATAGAGGGGCATAAGGTGTCAACGTTGGAGCATTGCAGGCTGTGAACTCCTCAATCCAATTGCGGAATATGTCATAACAAGGTAAGTATATTCCTACCTGCATGAAAAATTCTCAAAGGTATCAAAAAACCAGTTTCAAATAAAAAAGTTCCAGTTTGTAATCTGGGTTCATACCAATAGAATTTAATTAATGAAAATTTTCAAACATGGTGTCAGTTTTTGTCAGATTTCCTACTTAAACAATATTCCAATTTCACTGGGATAACCGGTAATGGATTACGATTATCCATAATAAGATAATTTCTTTTGTTCCCTGCATACTATCTTAATTCTACTTGATCCAAGTCCCCAACAAAAAGTACTATATAACCTTCCTACCTACTAATATATACTTTTTTGAAAAAAAATTGAGTGCTTTTTAGGACTTATTTTCGAGGACCAAAAGATAATAAACAAAAATACATCCTTGAATCATTCAGCACATCATCAGGAATTTAGGATTCTTTAATGGTAAAGCTAATTGGTGTGGAAGATAACAGAAAGTAGAAAAAACTAAATTGGCTCAATAGGCCTCGAGTCTAATCAAATCCAAAACTCAAATTGGATTCAGTTTCACCTGACCTATCCTATTTTGAAATTTGAAAGATATCATCCTTGACGTATATACTAGGAATTCAATACCAATACTACACCTTGTGTTGGTCGTTCATTGAATTTATATAGTGCATCAGGCAGTATACCAGCCATAACTGATATAAGAAAAAAGGAACAAGAGGAAAAAGGTGGAAAAAGAAAAAGAAAAAAGACAAGAGAGGGACAAAGAGGATAAGTAAAGAAAAAGAAAAAAGACAAGAGAGGGACAAAACTATAATATTTTTTTTTTCAATTCCTCTAGGTTAACCTAGGTGGATATGAATCAATTACAATTGAAATGTGAAGCCTCAATGATGGAGCAATAAGTGCTCCACGGTCTTCCGAAAAGAGTCCTTGTAGTAATCTTTAGAAAGTTTTCTAGAATGAGAATATCATGAAAGTAAGACACCCATGTGAATTTTGGTCTAGCCTAGTCACTTTAGATGGATCAGAAACTTGTTTGAAATGGATTAGTCAACCTATAATGAGGAGATATAATATCAACATTTGGAAAATAGTAAACTCTTTTACAATTATCCTTATTGATTATAGTTGATTCACAAACATACCTACAGAAAGATACAAAATCTTAAATACCAAGTTATTGTTTTAAATCAATTCCAAGAAAAACACAACTATTGCATATAAGGACCACAAATCTTAGAAGGCAAAACAATACCAAAATCAGAAAAGAATGGTAAACTTCAAAGCTAGGTAAATTAGCAACCTTTTCGCCTATCAGCCAATGGAATAGTAAAAAATGCTCGATGGAATATAAAAGATAAAGAAATCCAAAGTTTGTAGATGTGGTATCACAAAGTTGTGTGCTTACTAGACAATAAGCATGAAATGGTACCCCAGTATCTTTGACCATTGCAAGAATATATAAGAGGAATTTGTCGGGACTAATCTAATGTTAGAATCTCTCCATTGTACATCCACATTAAAGAAAAACACTGGAAAAAATTTGCTTGTAGTTTATAACATTATTACATATACAGATCAACTTTGCAAATAAACCATCTTTACTATATGAAATCGCTGTAAGTAGGCCATGTGATAAACAAGTTCTTAGATAAAAGCAAAAGAAGAATCACAACAACATCAAGAATAAATATGCTGCCATGGGAAGTGGAAGTGACAACTAACAGTTGGTACAGCCAATGCTAATCCTGCATTTGTACCCCTCCACAATCTAACAAAGCCTTCCTGCAGATTTTCAACATTAAGATAGAGATATTCAAAGTTGGATCATTGCAGCAATTAAAACAGTTATCATTTATATCCACTAAGCTAGAATACTTACTTGTCTAACAACTTTATATATAACATCTGCTGTTCCCTTGTAGTGAAAACATTCAGGAGGGCAAACTGGTTCAGTACCAAAAACTGCAGCACGAGTGCATGATGGGGAGCATCTGAAATCCGAAATCATCTGGGAGAATTATCAACATCATATCAGCCACAAAATATAAGGTGAAAAGGAGAACACATAAATCAACAATAAAAGAAGGTCAGACAGTCTGAAGACAATCTTTTCTAGGAAAAAGTTAAATGAGAATCTATAATATAATTTAGCAATTACAATCTCAACTCTAAAAATTTTTTGTAGGATCCTTCATGACAAAAATACTATTTAGGCTCTCTAGAAATAGCATGTCCGAATGATTTTTATTTTCCCAAAAACCAACTAAAGGTCAATGCTATTCTTGTAAAAAAAATTCATAAAACATTTTTCTATTCCCTTTTTAGGTCAACCGATATAGGTAGAGACACATAAATACTCCTCGGGCGCTAGGCGCTCGCCCAGGCGCTCGCCCGAGCAAAGAGATGCGCTAAAATATAAAAATATATAATATAATTAATTAATATAATTATTTAAAATTTTAAATAAAAATATGCTAATTTAAATAAAAATTCTAGTCGCGAGCAGAGGGAAGGCTCGTGGGAGGGCTCGCGAGAGGCGCGAGCAGCGGGAGTCGCGAGCAGCGGGAGGGCTCGCGGGAGGCGCGAGCAGGGAGTCGCGAGCAGAGGGAAGGCTCGCGGGAGGGCTCGCGAGAGGCGCGAGCAGCAGGAGGGCTCGCAGGAGACGCGAGCAGCGGGAGGCGCGAGCAGCTGGAGGGCTCGCGGGAGGCGCGAGCAGCGAGAGTCGCGAGCAGAGGGAAGGCTCGCGGGAGGGCTCGCGGGAGTCGCGAGCAGCAGGAGGGCTCGC